TGATGGCCAGTGGTGTAGCCAGCGGGGTGTGGGAGGGGGGGGGGGGGGCACATCGGGATCGAGCTGGATCGTGTGGAATTTTTTTTTTACCATGACACACATAGCGCAAAATGACCTTTTGCCTGCCCCCTCCCCTCTTTCAGATCAAGGTGCAAGGCCCCCCACCTGAACTTTTTAAAATTGCTGGCTACACTCTTTGCAACGGAAAAAACTAGTAGAGAATTTCCATATGGTTGCTATCCCATTAAGAACAATATGGATCTTGCTGTCGAGCTGTAGGCGTATGCATAAAGTACCCTGTGAGATTTTTTTTATGCACTTCTTTCTAGAAAACATAGTAGCGTTGTTTGTTTGTTCTTTAGTATAGACAGAACGCCCTAGCCACATAAAATATTGCTGCAAAAGGAAAATGAAGTTTGATAAATTGTGTGGTTTCAGCACAAATATGAGTGCCGAAGGAGGTGGGCTTTCTCAGACTAGCTGAATGACATCACATTACGCCCAGCAGTCTAATCAGTCGTGGAAAAAAAAACCCAAAAAATCTTCTTTTATTGTTGAAGTCATTTTAGAGAAATGCACTTGGCACTGTGTGAGTCTCTAGCATTGTACGTCACAGCGTTTCTCTACCATATGTGCTGATAACCACATAGGTATATTTATATCGTTATTTTATGAAGTGCGATTCTATTCAACCAGTATTCTGTTTATTTGCTACGAAAATTAATCACTGAACACGTTTTTTCAGAATTCTCAGCAGCATGATGTCATTATTCTTGCATCGTCAACTGAAATAGGAAGTACTTCTAATATTATCGGCTTCATGAAATTTGCAATGAATCTAAATATTTCTAGCTCTTGGCGAGAGCCCCAGAATAACTTTTCATGTCTTTGAGTGTAAATGCAACTGGCTTTGTTCTCCAAGATTTGAAGTTAGCTGCTCCAGGTTGCTCGAAATTGAAAAATTTTGCTCCGAAGTGCTCCAAAATGAAAATTTTGCTGCTCCAGAAATTCCTTCGTATCGGACGACTTCGCTAGCATAACTGCAATAAGCTAAGTAAGGCTTGTGCCACAATGCAGAAAAAGAATGAGTGAGTAAAAGACAGGAAAAGGACAGATATTCGTTTCGTAAAACACATCAACAAATTCACTGATTGCTATACAAGCGTAGTTTCAGCTGCGGCCGCTTCTACGTTGAGATAGAAAGTTGCATTAACCAGAGATTATTGGAACGCAAGAGATTGCTAACCGGAGGCTCACTTTCTAATCCTTCTTTACATTGTTTAGAATGTAAGTGGCTACCAGTGTCCAATGAATGCGCAGTTTTGTACCTGCATAAGAATGAAGAAGTGCGTTTGATGATTGAAGCATGGAATATCGATAATAGTGGTAGCACATGCATGAGCCAACCGTCGATGAACTTGCATAAACATAAAATCAAATACCTTGGCAGTTATTTTTCACGTTGAACTCCACGTGTTTCAGATTTACTATAGGGTCGAATAATGCATCGGCATGCACAGATCAGTTCTCGTGCCTTTTTTTCTTTTTCGCTGTTGTGTACACCTTCAGTTTTTAGTTGGTGTCTGTGGTGTCCTGACCGCTTTCTTAAGTACGTGCTTGCATGCCCTCTCTATTTAGAATGAATACATACAAAGTAACTCAGCTCTCTTGTTCTTCTACGCTACATCTTACCGCAGCTTCGGCCTCACACTGGCCCAGTCCAAGGCCGGTCGCCTCGTTCATATTTAGAAAGCTAAGGGCAGCAACCGATCAAGGTGCTGTTGCTGTACGATGAAATACCGAAGATCCTCTGTATATGCCGACCTAGTTGCAACGGAATCTAAAGAACCCTTCACAAGCCAAACGAGGCCCTTGAAGTCGTAACTTCCCAGCCCTAAGACCTGACAATACAACATAGAAGCAGTGAAATGAGCCAACATAGCCATGATTCGACGCCATGACCTAACTGCTACGCAAGACGACGAACTAGCAACCTCGATGTTCTTATAGACAGCCACAGCGTCACAGCTCTCATCGACACTGTAGCCAACTATTCTGTCATCAGCGGACCAATGGCCACGAAGGCCCTGAAATTCAGAGCGCACCTAGTAACATCCACAAGAATCTGCTCAGCAAAAATTTCAATCAAGGCGGTTGTGTATTTGGGTCACAAACTGCGTAAAGCCATGAGAATGATTCTCAGCTGAAATTCATATCATCAAAACACCAAGGAGACTAGCATGCCAAAGTAACAAAACTCACAATGACAGCCCTTCAGTTAAAGAAGCATAAACCACTCTGAAAATTGTTTATTTGAACAGAAGAAATCTACAATGTCCTTGTATTTCATTTTGGTCAGTTTATCTAACAACTTTGAAATCCATGAAACCTACATGCCATCGCTGATTTTCCCCACTTCTATATGCTGCCTTATGTAGCACACACGAAGACAATTATCATCTACTTTTATGAGAACGGGTGTACCAAGTTTCTGTCTTAAACCCTAACCGCATGTAAGCGATTTCCTTGCGACAGTGACGAACGACAAGATTTGCTGTCGCGGAGGCCCATTCGTTGCCGCCGTTTGTCGCCCGTAAGCTAGCGTGGCGATTTCTGGCAACATAACTTTGCCCCTGATCCTCGCATCAGTTGCAATTTGTTCTCGATGCTTGTTATTCGCGCGTACTTCAACGGATGCAAAGTATTGACTACCTTTATATACATTCTCATCCGACGTGGAGAGTGAGAGAGCGGCCATATTTTGTAGTAAATGTTGTTATCGAAGCTTTGTTTTGATGTCTCGACAGTTGCTTGTAACAATCTGGTCACTTGCTACAATGCGAAATTGTCGTGCGAAGTGCGTCATAGCCGACGTAGCGTACACTTCTGGGCAGCCTGTTTTTCTTAAAGCAAAGATTACGAAAAAAAGAAGTTTGTGAAATGCTTTTGCGGCTTCCTTATGTCATACAAGACAGTAATAAATTTTACATGTAGTCATCGATCAACTTTAAACTTCTATTTGCAATTTATGGGCATGAACACAATAGTTTTCAGTCAAGCAACAATGACACTTGGTCGCCGACATGCGGTTAGGGTGGCTAGAAGGAGGAGGTCTGAAAAGCGGCCGCTGAAACTGATCCCCAAAGCGCTCCGATGCCGCTTGGAGCTCTGCACGCAGAGGCGCGGGTACCCTTGCGCAGGTGGCATACGAGTAAGCCCGCGCTGCTTTCCGCAGAAATCTCTCTCACGCAGTTTGACGCAGGCCCATAGCCTTGGGGGGGGGGGGGGGGGGGTTCTTTTTTTCCTAGTTTTTAGCAAGTGCCCCCCCCCCCCCCCCCCCTCAAAAAAAAAAAAATTTCTGGCTACGGGCCTGCTCTCACGCTATATGGCGGTCACCTATTTTCAGTGAAAACCTTTTTTATTGAGTGAATGTATGACAATACTTAAGATACTTAAGCCAAGTAGTGTCTTACGTAGCTTAGGTATCTCTATATTTTCTCGCCTCTGAAGACAATCCTCGAGAAGGCATATGAGTGAGACCCGACACCAATTTCTGTGGATTTCGTAATATTGCGGTTACTAACCGCAGAACTGCAGAGGTGTTACGAGACATTGCGATTACTGGAAGGCTTCATATTACTTGGAGCATGTTAAGCTCTTTTATCCACGAGCAGAAACGTCGGTACAAGAGCCTCGTTTCGCTGCTCCATCGCGAACGGATAAACTTGTGCGAGTCGCAGCTTAAATTCTCACCTGCATTCAATTATCGGTTTCCGAACGTAGAAGTTTTAGCAGCCTACAATTGCTCATTAACTTAAACTAGTAAAGCTGTAAGAGCGCTAAAACTTATGTATGCCACGAAGCCTGTGACACGAGAATTGTCCCCAGCAGCAGAAATAGAGGAGACACTTTTTTAACCAGAACATAACTTTCTTTTCATGCATGCCAAGGTATTCATGCTCTGCCACTATAGTACACATGGCCTAACTCTCCACCCTTTCTTTTCGTCTTCTTTTTGGTTCATGCCTTTCAAAAAAAGTGGATACGAGTGAGGCAATAAAATCGCGCCACACTTTTGGTCAAGAGAGCACCATGCTTTGGGCAGCTAATTTGTTGTGTCTCGCCAATCCCCTTCAGCATCTCTATGGCCGACTTGGCGTGAAGACATGCTGAGCTCAAGAAACGAGTGATTTTGTCCTCAAGGTTCAGGATGAGAGTACCTATAAAGAGAATTCGGCGAATACGAAAGTCCGCCCAGGCTGCACAACTTGTTTGCCTGGGCTGGGAGATTTCTTGGCACGTTTTCTCTTGAGACAAGACAGGCGTTCTTGCACTCATCACAATTATTGCTAAGTATACGCTTTCTCGCAACGTAGCCTGCGACATAATATTCAAGGCGGGAGTCACTTCGCTCAGCAGTGTACGATGCATGATCTAACGACACTATCGGCACCGAGGCAAAAAGCACCAACGCTGGGTCTTTTTTTTTACCGTTGACATCCTTTGGCATTTCAGTGCGACCTAGCGCATACACTGACTGATGGCTTACTTGCAATGTAGCGACTGCTTGCGAAGAAAATCCCAGCGCACCTGCAGCAAACACAGGAAAGTGCGTTGTTCCCTACCCGCGTCATTCCCATCAGCGCCCCTTGCGGCATCGGCGCGCCGAGTGACCCTCTCCGACAAGCGAAAAGTGCCCCGCTCATCACACCTCCCAATTTTAGCCACCCTAATGTCGTTGCAGATGTCGCGACGGCGCGGCAGAGCAAGTTTTTCTCTGCCGCTAGAAAATCGCATGCATGCAGTTAGGGCTACTATTACACTATCCTCAGGATACGCATAGTTCGCTCAGCCAGACCAGTCCATGAAAAATGAGAGAAAGAACTGGTTCTCTTCAAACTCTTTTTGTGCTGGGTGGGAATTTCTGTCACTTGTTTTTGTTTTGCATTCCCTAGTGTCTCTGCCCTGTCTCAGTGTCATCACGTGAATATTGTGCGCAGGTGTTGGGACAGCCAATGCCTGGCGGCCAACTGGTGCTTCAGCCACAGGGCTTGCCCATCTCCCCAATGCTCATGCTCAACACTGCTGCCCCTGCACCACCAACTACTATGGCTGGGCAGGTGAGTGAAGATACTTGTGACCAAGATAGATCAAAGCTCATTGTATCCGATCTTCTGTAACTGAATGTTTGCACCACTGGCGCAGATATAATTCACCCTCATGCACCCTCAACTTGTTTAGTGGTTCAAAATAAAACCATACATTCTCGGCCATATGGGCACTGGGCTAGCTGCCACTAGTTTGTAGTCAAAGGAAGGCAGATGGAGGCGTCTAGACTAGGGGCGTTACAAAGTCAGCTGCTGCCAACACAAGAACACGATGCAACTAACACGATGGCACAATGGCAAGACATCAGCGTCTCAGCCAGACGACGAGCATCTATCATGCTGGCAGGCGTGGCAGAGTTCTAGCATTTGATTAGAGCAGCCAAATATTCCCATGCTCTCAATCAACGTAACAACAAACAATAGTTAATGCGAAGGCGTCGTTGCCAATTTCCGACTCACCACGAGTGGATCCATGGAACACGACCCGCAGTCACCATATCCCGCAAACCTCGGCAGGAGATGACCATCTACGCAAGCCACCAAACACTAGAGACTCCTTGATCTTTTTGTGTGGTCACCTATTCTTGCCGCCAAGTGTCGCTGCTGGCGTTACCATGGTAATGATGGTGATGGTGAACCCATCCGAGCACTGTGCCACCTACTGTTCGGCAGTTAAACCTAAATGCGGCCCATGCGCGAGAAATGTGCTCCGCAAGGCAAAAACGACATTTCAGGGTGTGATGCCACCCTCGCAAGTTGCCCTTTTGAATAGAGTTTTATACTGTTATTCATGTTACTGGACAACATTGATGGTTTGGAAGTCTAAGTGGCTACATCTAGCCTAGTAGTTCACCAAATTTTCGGCAAGCAGCTGCTAACAATAGTGAAAAAAGATGCGCTGGTCAGCATACACTGCTACACTGACATGGCGTAAGTGATTAGTGACTGCGATACCGTGGAGAACGGTCAAGAATGGAGAGTAAAGATTAAAAGAACGAAAAATGGGCTGTGCACGCAGCTTATGTTTTGTTTGTAATTTACTTCTTAAAAAGACCTTGCAACACCATTTAAGCCCACATTTTTTACTTGCGGGCTGTGTACACTGAAGGATTAAAAGATTAATGCAAGAAGAACAGGGATAGGGACACACACTCCAAATGCAGTGTACTAGGAGAGGCAGTGGGCTCATTGCCCTATGCCTGCACTGCGCCGACATGGCCCTTCGTGTCGACAGATCGGGCACCTGCCAGGGGGTGTTGCTGCCAGTTTCTCCCAAAAACTTCTTTTTCTGTGTGTGAAATGCGCCCCTGCGGTTATGCTGGTTACGCTGCAATTCGGGGTGGTATTAAAAGCGGGGTTGGAGTCAGGGGGACGGCCACCACTATGACATAAAATCAAAATGTATGTATATTGTGAGCACAGTATTCACTGTGTTTGTTCTTCATCCTCTTCACCTCTACATAATCATCATCAGTCTTAGCATTTTCTTTGTCCGACCCGCTCTCCATGTCCCACCCGCTCTCCCAGGTCGGAGTCGACGACGCGCTGCCACAAATCGCCACCGCTGTTCGGAAGCTTCAGGCCCGACGTGGACAAAGTCGGCCTCGCGAAAACAGTTTCGCGCGCATGTAGTCTTCACCGTCGCCCACAAAATATTCACCATCTCCACAGCTGAATACCCGGACGCCTGAAGCGGCAAGTTGGCTGCCAGGTGGTCAACAGCTATGAGCAAGCGCTCCACAACAGGGCACCTAACGCGCGGATTACGCTCAAGCCAAGCCTTCACACTTTCGACGATTTGTTGAGCGGCAGGAAAAAGCATGCTAGTCCTCCTGTCAGGCATCATGACCACACACGCACACCAAGAGCGGGCAAGACGCGCACACGCGACACACATGCCAGAACGTGTGGAACAGCTCTGGGCCCGTTTCTAGTCAGAAAATGAAACTGACTCGAGCCAGCGTGGCTGGCATCGCGGAGCAGTGGAGACAGGCGAAGGGGTTGCGATCAAGAGAAGAGAGCAGATTTGCGAGAGAAGAAGGGCAAGGAATTGCGATCGAGTGAAGAGAGGGGAGGACATGGCAGGAGGGCGGCCTTGAAAACCAAAAAAAAGCGGGAAGAAAGTAAGTCGAGTAGCTTGCTTGAAAGGTCCGCAAAACGCGCAACTCGCGCGTAGAAAAACTTGAAAGAGTGCCTCTGCGCGCAAAAGTCAAAGCACGGCCGCCTGGATGTGCGCGCGCAGCGGTGTTCAAAAAAATTAGCGGTCATGGTCAAAAAATTATTTTGTTGCACCGGCGGGTTCGCGTGGCCTCACGAACTTCGATATTTCGCGATTCGTTCTGCGCAAATTAACTGCCGTTTTCGCGCTTCCGTATGCGCGCGGAAGGCATGCTGAGTCGAGTGCGAAGTGAGCGAGAACAAGTCCTAAACACGAAATGAATCGCAAGTTATCAGAGTTGGTGGGGTAGCGTACACGCGTGCACTAGACGCAGACTATCGGATACAGTCAGTGGCCGACGATGTTGGCAAATGGTCTGGTCACTCCAGGCCGGCAACGCCAACGTCAGTACCAGCGATCAAAAACAGGGTAGATGGCCAACGGGTCTTCCAAAGATCGGTGGCAGTGTGAAAACACGGGCCTCGTCTGGTAATGCGGGGTGCTCAGAGTAGCGGGAGGACAAAGGGCGGAGGGGTGCGTAACAAACAGCAGTCAGGGAGAGCGGCAACTAGAGGGACGCGGAGGCAAGGGGAATATATGGGCACCTCGCCGATGCCTGTTCGATGGTCGAAATTGGTTTCCTGGGAAGTCGGCAGACCGCTGACTCCGTTCACTGTAACCGATCAGCCGCGCTCGGAGACGTTCCTTGTAAGTGTGATTTTGTGCCATTGAACCAATATATATTTTCTTGGTCACACGGATATTGTTCGCTTTAAGCGAAAGTTCATTTTAAGTGGGGCCGTTATATGTGGTCTCGACTGTATTTTAACCACGAGGTCAGCTTCCCTGTGTGGTCTGTCTTGGCTCAACAAATCTGCAGGATTTTTGGGAAGCCAGACATCCACGCTGAAGTCTCAAAGAGGAGAGTCGACGGCTGTGTGCTACATTGGGGTGAGACGTACATTTCGTACATCGAAGAAGTCTTTTTCCTTTGCGACGGCGTGGACTCTGATATGACCGTGAAAGTGCTGGGGTTTTTCATGGCTCTGGCTGTCGAAAACCCCAGCACTGTTGAGGATGTCATCACGACCCATCAACACCTCGATGAACTGCAGGCCATCCGGCTGAACCCAGGCACCTGTGACATCCGGCCTTCCTCCCATGCGAATTTATGTACCTTGATCCGTACTTTGATTCGTGAGGAGCTCCTAGTTCAAGGACTGTCATCTCTGCCTGACCTTCAGCCTCACTTCTTGGCTACTAGTCTACGCGACGTTATCAAAGAGGAGCCGTCCTTCCATGGCTTCCTCCCTCAGTTGACAATCCCCCGCCGCTGCCAACTCCACCCGCAGCATGCGCAAATCGCTGCCATGCAACCTGCATTGGCCCAGTCTGCATATCCTGTTCCTGCTCAAACCAACTTAACCGCATTTGCTCCACGTTCACCTGTCCCACATCCACCGACATTCTACGTCCCCTGGCACTCATCTTGCCGAGAGTATTGCTGTGGCATTCGAGGCCACATTTCACGATATCGTCCCAAATGCCAGCTGGACAAACACTGGGGCCAGGGGTTTTATGAAAGGAATTATATGTCCTCTCCTAAGAAGTACTAGCAGCGCCAGTTTTCACCTCGTTCGGTTTCTCCATCTTCGCCATCCGGCTCACCTCGGATGTACCGCTTAGGACTCTCCCACTCCTCTTCTCCTCTTCGGCGCTCAACATCGCCTCTACGACCGCTCGCCTCTGGCTATAAATACTGCTCGGAAAACTAGCCGGTGCAGTTTTTGAGAAAAGTTTTAATGCCCAGACAGACAGCAACCCCTCTAAAGGGCCCAGCCAATTTGTTGTTAATAATAGATGAAGATAAACCAAATTTTATGATAAGATTTGCAACCAGAACATCCCGAGACAAATTTCTGACTGCAGCTAGGAAGACGAGGCTAAATACGAGTCACCTTTCTTTAGAGCATAATGATCCCATCTATGTCAATGAGCATCTCTGCCTAGAAAATAAGATTTGTTCAGGAAAGCTCGAGAGGTGAAAGCAGAAAAAAAGTGGAAGTTTGCATGGGTATCTCAGGGCCGGATTCTAATGAGAAAAGCTGAGAACTCGGCGGTTGAACATATTCAATCTGATGGTGCACTTGCCAAGATTGTGTAGGTGCTCGTGTTCAGTTAAGTTCTGTATTTATAAATATGCTTAATCCTTCATATACGAAAAAACACAAATATAATAAGTTCTCGGTTTTCCACTGCAATGTTCGAAGTTTACGCAGGAATTTAAACAATCTGGTCACCTATATAGCACGGTTAGACTTTGGTTTCGATATTATTGTTTTGAGTGAAACATGGTTGAAGGCTGATAAAACAATGAGTATGCTGGGGTTCAGGCTACTATTGCAGCCACGCAAGTCGCGTGCGCGAGGAGGTGGTGTTGCCTTGTTTATACGGGACAATAATGCGTGCAATGTCTTGCTTAATGCATCTGTTACCAACGCAACTATAGAAACTCTGTTTATCAAAATTGAAAGAGGGCCAGTTATTGGCCTTGTATACCGCCCGCCCGGTTTTTCGATCAAAGCGTTCCTGAAGGAATTTGAGTCTGTGCTTATGGGAGTTTCCTGCATGCACTAGAATAATATTGTAGTTGTTGGAGACTTTAATATTGACCTGTCATCCGATACCTCGAATGAGTACACGTTCCTTTTGAAATCCTTTAACTTGTGTAATGTCATAAATGAGCCAACGCGTATCACTGACACGTCATGCACTCTTATTGATCACGCCCTCTGCAATGTTGGCAATGATGTGCATGCTGGTGTGTTTCCTGTTCCGATTGCCGATCACTTGC